GGGGGGGAGGGCAAAAGACTCTTCCCCTGATCCCTTCTTCCTGCCCACTTTCCCCAAACCCTCTCCCCCAGGACTCGGCAGAAGATATTCACTCCCTGGACAGCTGTGAGTACATCTGGGAAGCTGGTGTGGGCTTTGCCCATTCTCCACAGCCCAACTATACCCATGACCTGAACCGGTGAGCCTAGCAGGAGCCCTGATCCTAGAGGGTATACATGGTTGTGCATGCATGTTCTTGCTGGATGTCTGGTATGATGAATTTCTTCCCACTCTCCTCCCCTCCCAGCTAGCCTGTCAGTGATTGTAAATCCTTGCAGGATTCTGTCTGTCCTTATTCAGTGCCTGAAGAGAAATATAGCGGATGCTAAAACAGAGTGGTTCTGGAAGAGTCACAAAGCTGGGAGAGAGGTATAATATGTCGGATGACAGGATCCAAAAGAATTTAGACACATTAGAATGATGAACTGAATTTGTGGATGAAATTTAATAGATATAAATGTACAATATACTTATTGCAAGATAAATATAATGCCCTACACTTGGATAAAAACAAAATAAACTTCCCAAGCCTGAGATGAGGGAGGCATAGCTACAACACAGTTTGTATGAAATCTGGGGGTTTTAGTGGATTTCTAGCTCAATACAAATCAGCAGTGTGATGTGACAACCAGAAGACCTAATTCAATCTGAAGCTGCATTCAGATAGTCATGAAGTCCAGACTAAAAGAAGCGGTTGTCCCAGCTATACTTTGTCTTGGTCAGACCACACCTAGAATATTGTTTTCAATATAGAATGTTCCATTGTCTGAAGGATGATGAGTATGGCGAAAGGTCTTGAGATCATGGCAGTCAGTTGGTCAATCAACAAACATTTATTAAGCCCCTATTATGTGCCAGGCCCTGTGCTAAGGATGCAAAGAAAAGCAAAAGACATTGTCTTCTACTAAGTTGGCTGTTAGTGAGGGGAGGGTTGGTCCCATGCCCATGTCCCAATCCTCCTTATCCTTGAGAAGCTTACAGTCTAATGATATAGGAGGATTTGGGTGAAGAAATTCCACCACCCCCCTTTTTTTAAGCTTATAAAAGAAGATATTTGGTGGGGAGAAAAAGGGGGGTTCCTTTTTTAAGTATTTGGAAACTGTCATATTAAAAAAGGATTAGACTTGTTCTTTCTCTGGTTCCAAGGACAGAACTAGCCAGGGCTGATCGGTAGAATCCAGAGGGAGGCAGATTTCAGTTGGAGAAAAATTTCCTAACAATTAAAGTGGTCCAAAAGTGGAATGGGTTGCCTCAGAAGTAATGGGTTTCCCCATCAGTTGAAGGCTTGATATAGGGATTCTTGATCAGCTACATGTTGGCCTTTGAAAGCCTTTCCAACTCAGTAATTCTGTGATGCTCAGTCCTTGAGTGGAGGTCTGTGCCAGGCAGGGAGCTCTCTGTTCTGACTGCCCCCTTTACTCTCTTAGGACGGAGCTGCTGAAGTTGCTGCTGACTTGTTTCTCTGAGGCCATGTACCTGCCCCCAGCCCCTGACAGCAACAGTGCCAATCCCTGGGTGCAATTCTTCTGCTCTACAGAGAACAGGTGAGCCTTGACCCCAGGTGTGTGTGTGTGTGTGTGTGTGTGTGTGTGTGTGTGTGTGTGTATTGTAGGGGTTAGAGGGGGAGGTTGGAGCCTTGCTGGTGCAATGTTCTCCTGTCTTCTATTTTGTGCCTACTTCTGTGGTCACCAAATGTTTTCGGGATCTGCTTTCTGTGGTAACTAGGGTCTTTCCATTAGCTGATTCTAGGGACCTGCTCCCCCTAGTGGTGGTGAGTTGCAATTCATCATCGTCCAAAGACTTCTTTTATTGCATTTATCTCTGCACTTTTTGATCATGCATCACATCAGTGAAAAAAACGTTGAACATGCTCCCCAACATATGTATATTTATTGAGGGATAAATTACATACATGTACTACTGTACTGACATTATGTATTTATAAGATATGTACAAAAATTAAAAATTTCAAAGATTGAGATAAATATGAAATAATTTTAAAATTATTACTATATGATCCTTAATAAAGATATAAATACGATGTTTTGTAAAATATTATTAATAATTTCTATAGTAAGAGCAATGTGATTGAATATACTTTATTATTTTTTTTTAAATCTTGGTTTAATATTCTGTTATGGAGTGATTAGAAGGTCAGGTTCTAAATTTGGTCTATTTCAACACTTGGTTTTATGGATGTTGTAGTTGAAAGATACAGATACATAGATCCAAATGTAATAAATACATAATTGGCTGTGCTTACTAAATCCCGATAATCATTTTTGGGTGCAATCCACTGGTTATGAAAAGGTTATTGTTGAAATTCAGCTTTCTGAGGTTGGTCAGTTCTTGCAAACTAAAAAGATGTTGCATTCTTATATTTTTAACAAACAAATTAAAAACCCATCAAATCTCTTAGTTTGGGAGATTTTGAAATAAGTTAGAAAATTTTCTGTCCAAGTTTTTAAAGTGTGCAGATGAGAGTTTTTATAGGTGACGCATTTTCAGTAACACGAGCTTATTTTTAAATGTCCTGCTTTTGCCAGTGTCTTCATACTCTTATTAGTTAGTAAGTGTTGATTAAGTGCCTACTATGTACCAGGCATTGTATTAAGTTTTTGGGAACACAAAGAAAGGCAAAAAGAGTCCATGCCCTCATGGAGTTCATAATTGAACAGAGGAGACATTATGAGAACAACTATGTACAAATATAGGTAGCGAAGTAGTACGGAGGATAGAGTGTCTGGCTTGGAGTCAGAAAGACTCATCTTCATGAGTTCAAATCAGACACTTACTAGCTGTGTGACCCTGGGCAAGTCATTTAACCCTGTTTGCCTCAGTTTCCTCATCTGTAAAATGAGCTGGAGAAGAAAATGGCAAACCACTCCAGTATCTTTGCCAAGAAAACCCCAAAGAGGGTCTGGAAGAGTTGGACACAACTGAAACAACTGAACAACAAAAATGTACAAAAAAGCTACATAGGATAAATGGGAAATAATCAACAAAGGGAAAACACTAAAATTAAGAGGGATTTGGAAAGACTTCCTGTAGAAGCTGGAAGATATTATTTGCTAATGTTTCAAGGCACAGTATACATTTAAGACAGTTAATCATTAATGATAGTGGATATAAATCCATATTTCAAATAATTTTATTTTTAAAAAATTAACTTAGTTTTTATGAACAAAAACTTACTTTTCCTCTTTGTACTCCCACTGAAATTGAAAAAGAAAAACAGAACTTGTCACAAATATGTGTATTCAAGCAGAACAAATTCTTGTATTTTCCAAATATGTCCAGATTTATACAAATAGCGTGTTCCCTCATTAGTTCTATGAAGTCATGGCTGGTCATTGTATTGATAAGAATTCTTAATCTTTTAAAGTTTTTACAGTACTGATATAATTGTATAAATTTTTCTCTTGGTTCTGCTCACTTCACATATTAGTTCATATAATTCTTCCCTTGATTCTCTGAAACTGACCCCTTCATCATTTCTTTTTTTTTGGCTAGGCAATGGGGTTAAGTGACTTGCCCAGAGTCACACAGCTAGTAAGTGTCAAGTGTCTGAGGCCAGATTTGAACTCAGGTCCTCCTGAATCCAGGGCCAGTGCTCTGTCCACTGTGCTACCTAGCTGCCCCCATCATTTCTTATATCAAATAATTTTCTTGATAATTTCTATTGGGGGGAGGTGACTTCTTGTCAATCCTGATTAAATCATCTTTGTTTTTATTTTGTAATGTAACAGGCAAAGAGCTCATAGCAGGAGTAAGAAAAGTGTCAGCCCTGCCATTTTCTTGTTGTTTGCCTGTGCTCAAAATGTAATTTTCAATCTGTGGTTTCTTTGCGGGAATCTTTTTAGATACCTGTCCATTCTGTGAAGGCTAGTTGAGTTCAAATTAGGTAACAGAATAATCCCATGCACATAAGCTGCAGTACATCATAGTTCAGAGTAAGGTGCCATCATTCACCTTGTTATTGTAGATCTTGTATTTTCCTCAGGACACCTTCCTAGGTGACACGTGACTTGACATACAGACTGTATGAGTGAGGACACCAGTTTCAATTAGTATATTAAATATTACTAAAAATTAATTATTTTTAAGATTAAAAAATAAATCCAAAATGAAGTTCTAATATTTTCTTTATACATCCCCTGAAGGTACACACATCCCCCTTTAGGGACCACTACCTTATAGAACAAAACAGAACCACCTATGTATATTGTCCTGTTCTGAGACCTGGGGGGTTATAAAGAGGAAGAAGGAAATGAGATGTTCTGTCCCAGCCTAAGTGAGGCAGATACCAAATATACATGTGTGTAATGTGATGGATTTATTTGAATGGACATCTTTTATATAACATGTCTAAAAGTTTTACTGTAGTAATGGGATGCCCTGTATAATGTTGTCATTCAGTTGTTTCAGTTGTGTCTGATTCTTCATGATCCCATTTGGGGTTTTCTTGGCAATGTTACTGGAGTAGTTTGCCATTTCCTTCCTTAACTTATTTTACTAATGAGAAAACTGAGGCAAATGGGGTTAAGTGACTTGCCCAGCATCACACAATTTGTAAGTGTCTGAAGCCAGATTTGAACTCTAGAAGATGATTCTTCCGGACTCTAGGCCTCTCACTCTATTCACTGCACCACCTAGCTGCCCACCCTGTATAATACTTAGGAGTTTTCAAAGAATTTTTATTTCCATTATTTCATTTGTGATGATCTGTTTTATTCTCAGAGTCCCTCTCATGGGAGGAGGGGCCAGCATACAACTGTCTTAGGGAATTGCCTGGCATATAGTGCCTGTCACATAGTAGGCACTTAATAAATGTTTATTGATGAGTAGACCTCCACTCTCACTTACTTACCCCATTCCCTCCGTGAAGTAGGGACCTTTTTAACCTGACATGCCCTTTAGAAAGGAAAGGAACTAGGACTTCTGTCTCTCCTTGCTGAAGCCAGGAGCCATACATGGCTCTATTTATGCCCTGTTCACTTTCTGTCATCCTAAAATGACATATTCATTCAATAGCATGGATAATGGACTTCTCCCAAATAACCCCTCCCAAACCCCTCTCCTACACCTCTTCACCTCTGAGAGGTGAAGTAATATGGAAGACTGAGAGCCAGAGTACATATGTTCCAATTTTGATTTTTCCATTTATTATCTGTTTGACCTAGAGTAAGTCAATTAGCATTGCTATATTTCAACTTCTTAATATCTAAACTGAATTACTGCTTACCTGCCTCATAGGATTGTTGTGAAGATCAAATGTGATAATATATGATATATTTACAAATTTATAATACAAATACATGTATATATTTGCCACATATAAATATATGTTAATATGTATTCACACACATGTGTTTATGTATTTTCAAAGCACCAAAGCAGTGGTACTTTGGAAATTGTAAAAAGTGCTATATGGTGATAGTAACAATACTAATTACAGTGCCTGGCACATTAAGAAATACTTTATTTAATAACAATAATAACTAGCACTATGGACAGCTAGGTGGTGCAGTGGATAGACATATAAGTACACTATATATAGATAGATATGCTATATAGATATGGTGTGTCTATAGTATATAAATGATATAGTATATCTATATATCAATATCAATATCAATATACTATATAGATAGATATACTATATTTAGATAGATATATTGGGCCTGGAGTCAGGAAGATCTGAATTCAAATCCGGCCTCAGGCACTGCTAACACTATGGGCAGCTAGGTAGTGCAGTGGATAGATATATAGGTATACTATAGAGAGATAGATATACTATAGATAGATATAGAGATATAGATATATGTAGACATATATAGTATATATAGTATATCTATCTGTCTATATAGTATATATAATATATGTAGTATAGATATACTATATAGACAGATATTTTATATATGTGTGTGTGTATATATATTATATGCATATATATATACACATATACATACATATATATATATATGGATGGATAGATATACTGGGCCTGGAGTCAGGAAGATCTGAATTCAAATCCAGCTTTGGACACTTGCTAGCTATATAACCCTGGGCAAGGCACTTAATGCTGTTTGCCTCAGTTTCTTCATCTGTCAAATGAGCTGGAGAAGAAAATGGCAAACCACTCCAGTATCTTTGCCAGGAAAACCCCAGATGGGGTCATAAAGAGTCAGATATGACTGAAATGACTGAACAACAAAAGTTTTTCCTCCCCTCACACCTGGCCCCATCCTAATCTCAGTTCTCCTGATGTTAAATGTTGCCCTTAACTAGCCAGTAGCATACAGTTAGAAGATTGTGAGGACCTAGGCCCTGTCACTTATTGCCTGTGTGACATCAAGCAAATTATCTAAGCTCTGCAGGCCTTGGTTCCCTCATGTAAGAGATGAGGGTGTGGGATGAGAGGAGCTCTAAGAGGCTCTGTCTCCCATGGCATGGATGTGTGACTGCCCCAGAGGAACCCTATGGTGAGGAAAGCAAGCCTTCCTTAGAGATGACCTGTCATTTTTTATTATTATCTACCCCAGCTTTTGATGGAGAACCCCTCTTCCCCAGACCTGCTCAATTCTAAGCTTGAGTCCAGAGAGGAAGGGCCCTCTTAGCTCCTTGAGAAGGACAGGGTGACTGTGCTGCCTCAGCCTTGGTCGGGTAGATTCAAGGCCTCATTAGCCCCTCTCCCTGATCCTCCCCGGATCCCTTGGGGCAGCCCTTCCAGCTTTGCCTTCCTTCCTGTACAGACACGCCCTGCCGCTCTTCACCTCCCTTCTCAACATCGTCTGTGCCTATGACCCGGTGGGCTATGGGATTCCTTACAACCACTTGTTATTCTCTGACTATCGAGAGCCTCTAGTGGAGGAGGCAGCCCAGGTGCTTATTGTGACCTTGGACTATGACAGTGCCACCAGCACCAGTCCCACCTTAGATGGAACTACCACGGGCACTGCAATGGATGATGCGGACGTAAGGGCCCAACATCCCCTCCTGCCTTCCTGGGTGGGGGGGGGGTAGGGGCGTCCCCATACTGATCTCTCTGCTATTTCCTACTGCATAATTTGACCAACTACCAGGGGGACTTCTCTCCAGGCCCAGGGGCATGGGTGGCATGTGTGGCATGTGACTTTCCCCATATCAGAAGCTCAGGACAAGATATACTAGTTGGGCACTTACTCTTGGTGCCAGAGTGCAAATTGCCTGGTATGCCTGAGATTGGCAGGTGGGCGCTGCTACTGTTGCTGTGGGCTCTAGATACCTGAAAATGTTTTAAGATGTAGTTACTTAACAAGTCCTGCCTGGTCAAGGTCCTGCCACCTAGCCTTCTACGCTTATTGGAGAGGTTCCTGGGGTGGGTGAGGGCCTTGAGGGAGGCTCAATGGGTAGGGGTGGGGTCCAAACCTTATTAGCTGTTGCTAATCAGAGTACCTGTCCCTCCCCATAGCCGCCAGGCCCTGAGAATCTATTTGTGAACTACCTGTCCCGAATTCACCGTGAGGAGGTGAGACCATTGGTGCCCCCATTCAAAGGGGAAGGGGCTGAGCCCTTTCCCTGTGCAGAGCCCCTGAAGGAGATGCAGAGAAAAGAGGAGTCAGTCCCTGCTCTCAGAGACCCCACAGCCTAGTAGAGAAGCCAGAATGGAAGTGGACATGGGCACACACAAATATTCGCATATATGCACATGCATGCACACATACACATGCACATAACATTTCAAAATATGTATAATAATAATGAGTGATACATATTATTCCATGCAGAGAGAGAGTGTGTGAGTCCATGCTTTGGAGGGTGGAGGGTGGAAGATGGTGAAAAGCTTGCATTGACCTAAACTAGGGAGGAATCAATATGGAAAGATTTTTCTGGAAGAGAAAAAAACAGGAGTGAAACTTTAAGGGGAGAAGGATGTGTTTTGATGGAGGAGAGGGGATTTCATATCAGGAGAAGGAGGTGGGAAGGGGCTTAGTACTTGCTGGGGACAGTAAACAGGGTGACTTGCTTAGAGAAGAGTTCAGGGAGTGAAGATCAGTTCTCTTCAAAGGTAATGACAATAGAGCATTGTGGGACAACCTGTATTTTGTAGGGAGTAAGATGGAACGTCAGTGGCTTGACCCCTTGGATACTGACTAGTGGTCTGGCTTCCTGGAAATGTGCCTGGCTTCCTGAGGGGAGGGGGTCTTGCTCTCAAAGAGTCAGAGAGGCAAGAGATGATGGTAATGAGATTAAAAGGGTTATGATAGAGTCAGGTGTGGGAAAAACCTACACTTCAAAATTGAGGCTGAGTTTAGACTTGATGCCAGAGGTAATGATATGGGAGGGGGGATGGTGTGGATCTCAATGGTTCTCTAGCCCTAGGCTGGCTCCCAACCCTGTGTCACTACAGGATTTCCAGTTCATCCTTAAGGGTGTGGCCCGGTTGCTCTCCAACCCTCTGCTTCAGACATACCTGCCTAACTCAGCCAAGAAAATCCAGTTCCATCAGGAATTACTAGTTCTGTTTTGGAAGCTCTGTGACTTCAACAAGGTGGGCAGCCTTAACTGGACCCTCTGGGAAGGAGCTGAGATGCCCCAAGAGAAGATAACTCAGAAATGGTGTAGGAGATCTTCTGGGTCCACTTGAAGATGGTGGTTAATGGTTGTGAGGAGTCTTGAGTTAGCTCAGAAATAGGGGATGGTCAAGGTCTTCTGAGTCTGCTCAGAGATGGGAGAGAGGCAAAAATTCCTAGATCTATTCAGAGATGGTAGAGTAAGGTCTTCTAAGTCATCTCAGAGATGGAAGTGGTGACAGCTTCCAAGTCCAATGTGAGAGAGTGAGGTCTCCTGGGTCTACTTAGTGATGGAGGTTGAGATCTCACTCATAGATATGGGAGGTTGAGGTCTCCTGGGACCTCTCATAAATGTGGGGTGACATCCCCTGGGGAGGCTCAGGTTTGGGGTACCGGACCTCCTCCCCATTCTGATCCAGGCCTGTCTTCCTCTGCTCTCATTTGCCTCCCCACTTCAAGAAATTCCTCTTCTTCGTGTTGAAGAGCAGTGATGTTTTGGATATTCTCGTCCCCATCCTCTTCTTCCTCAATGATGCTAGAGCTGATCAGTGTGAGTTTGTGGGGGAGTGGGCCTGTTCCATTCTCTGCCCTTGGGAAGCAGGGAATTTAGCCTCTTTTCTTCCCCAAATGATCCACCTATCTTTATCCTTCCTGTCCCCGAACCTCTCCCCATTGCCCTTTCTGACCTTTTCCCTTGTCCATTCCTTGTGGCCAACGTGGTTCCTCCACCATGTGCCACAGCTCGAGTGGGCCTGATGCATATCGGAGTTTTTATATTGCTGCTCCTGAGTGGAGAACGCAACTTTGGGGTCCGGTTGAACAAGCCCTATTCCGTTCGAGTTCCCATGGACATCCCTGTTTTCACTGGCACCCATGCTGACCTGCTCATTGTGGTGAGAATGGTTGCTTCCCCTTACCCATCAGGCAGTACTCTTCTGCCCCAGTCCTTAGTGGTGATGACACCCAATGGAAGAGTGGGGAAGTCGGGAGGGGAAGGAGCAGTGGGACTGTACTATTTCTGGTCTGTGGGCTGGCCAATGGTCTAAGCTGGTGCTGACCTCCCTTTCTGTCTACTGTTACTGATTCTGCGCTCTAGGTGTTCCACAAGATCATCACCAGTGGCCATCAACGCCTACAGCCTCTCTTTGATTGCTTGCTCACCATCATAGTGAATGGTAAAGGTGGTGGAAGGACCAGTTACTCCAACTTTCACCACCAGGGGGCAGCAGGTCCTCAGGTCTAAAAGCAGCCAGGGTGGCTTCCAATCTTCCTGGTTCATTAGGCTGATAAGGCACTTTAAGGACCAAGTTTGTGCTGACGTGGTGTCTGGAGCAGCTGGATTACCCTCTCTCTGCATCCTGTCCCTGGGGCCCCTGTGGGAGGGGCTAGGGTTTCTGAAGTAGAGCCCAACTACACTGATGATTTGGGGGGAGGTGGGAGGTTGGGCAGGAAGACCTGAGTTCAGCTTCAAACACTTACTAGCTGTGTGACCCTGGGCAAGTCCCTTAACCTTATTTGCTTCAGTTCCTCATCTGTAAAATGAGCTGGAGAAGGAAATAGCAAACCACTTCAGTATCTCTGCCAAGAAAACCCTAAAATGGGGTCACAAAAACTGAACAACAATAACAACACATTTTTATTATTATAGACCCAACCTTGGACAGGGTAGGGCTAGGGGCAGTCAAGACAGGCACTTGCTTAGAGTTTTACGTACAGAAGGTTGTGTTTCATAAATTTTTATGTGCTAGAAAATCCCTGCTCTCTAGGGCAGAAAGGGGAGCTTAGGGTGGGTGGTGATTTCCAAACCTTGCCTAGGGTGGGTTGTTTGGGGACTTTGGGGGTTGCCCAGAGTGATTGAACCTTTTCCCCTCCCAGTGTCTCCATATCTCAAGAGCCTGTCCATGGTTGCAGCCAATAAGCTGCTCCACCTTCTGGAGGCTTTCTCTACCACCTGGTTCCTGTTTTCTGCTGTCCAGAACCATCACCTGGTATTCTTTCTCCTTGAGGTCTTTAACAACATCATTCAGTATCAGTTTGATGGTGAGAACCCTCCTTCCCTGGCCCCATCTCCATTGCTAAGGCTTCTTAGATCCCTGGGGTCACCCTTGTGACCCAGTTGAGGAGGGGGTTATTTATAGTCTTCCCCCAGATGAGGGCATAAATGTGATCAGAGCCCTTTTGAAGATGGAGCCTGGGCTCCAGGCTTCTAAGGTTTTGGCTAGTTTATAGGGTGGAAGCCTCTGTTCTCTTGGGTGTGGCCAGCCAGCTTATTGTCTTCTTGTCAGCTTTTCTTGGTGACTTTCCATCTTTTACCCCTCCCATGGGTTTCTTGGGCTGTCTCTTATACCTGGGATTATGTTCCCAGTCCTTCAAATTCACCAAGTCTAGCAAATCCATGTGGATTGAGTGGGAATATGCTTTCTCTTCCCAATAACAGCCTTTTTGAGTCCAGGACTAACTACTGCCTTGACCTGATTCTTTCATTATTTGTCTTAGGCAACTCAAACCTCGTCTATGCCATCATTCGAAAGCGAAGTGTCTTCCACCAGTTGGCCAACCTGCCCACAGATGTGCCCTCCATCCACAAAGCCCTGCAGCGTCGAAGGCGGACTCCTGAGACCCTATCTCGAACCAACTCCCAGGAGGGTGTTTCCATGGAGGGCTCCTGCCCTGCTGCCCCTGCTGAGCCGGGTACCCTCAAGACCAGCCTAGTGGCTACACCAGGTCTGGCACTGGCATAGAGATGGCAAGAATAGGTTCTTGCCAGGTTTGGAGAGCCAAAGTGGTGACATCACCTGAGCCATCGTCCCTTCTCAACTTATGTCAAGGAAATGGGCACCAGGGAGGGGTCATGATAGGATGATATATATGGTTTTCATAAGCATGTAAAGCAGTAAGCAGTAAGGAAACTGAGAGGTTATGTAGTCTGGCTAGTGATCCAGAGTAGTTAAGGGACTTTGTGTCAGGTCAAACAGCTAGCATAGCAGTTCTGAAGGTGGGATCCAAATGAACAGGGATCTCCCACAGCAGCCCCTGCCATGTCAAATGGATTGACCCAAACTCTAGAACAGGGTTTTTTTAACCTGGGGTCCATGGAAAAAGTCCATGAAAAGGTTTAGAGGGTCCATGAACGTGGATGAGGAAAAAATTTGCATCTTTATTTTCACTAGCCTGTAACTGAAATCTAACACTTCCTTTAATTATGAATTCCTTTTAAAATTATTAAATAATATTTTTAAAAATTATTAAATGACAATTTTTTAAAATTATCATTCTGAGAAGGGTTCCAAAGGTTTCATTAGACTGTCAAAGGGGTCCATGATACAACAAGGTTAAGAACTCCTGAGCCAGCTAGTAATAGAAGTAGAGTTAAGATTGGAACCCCAATATCGTGAACCTCCCACCCTGTTCAATATACACCCCTGTTGGTCTTTCATATTTGCACATTTCCCCTGGCTTATGGGTTTGTTTGTTTTTGTAATCATTGTGTCTATTCTGCTGCCACTCTCTAAATTCATAATTACTTATTTTGATGTTTTTTTTGATGATTGTTTTTGATGATTAGGCTGGAGATAAGTGGGTTCTGTAGAATCCTGCTAAAGTCATATGTGACATTGTGGACATTTCCACAGACTAGGTCTTTCCAATGCTATGTTCTTTCCATTACATTAGCTCATTGGTAAAATTACTTACTCATTAATATAATATTAATGGTAGAGTAGAGAAGGAAAAACTTTGGGATAGGCTAAATACAGGATAGAGAAGCTTTGGATCTGGGGTGTTCACAGTGAGGGTGGGAGTGTGGCTGGGAGAAACGTGAGATGTGAGACGTGCACCTATTGCCCAAACCTAGCTATCTTCATTCACCAACATCACTCCGCTCCATCCCCAAGGCATTGACAAGCTGACCGAGAAGTCGCAGGTGTCTGAGGATGGAACAATGAAATCTTTGGAGCCCGAGTCCAGTCGGAGCTTGGTTGAGAACAGCTCCCCAGCCAGGAAGAGCAAGGAAGAGTCATGGAATGGGGTGAGGCCCCAGCGTTAGAGAGCCAGGGTCCAAGAGCCAGGGGGAAGGGAGAAGTCAGTGGTGCCCTCCCTGGGGATATGCAGGACCTTGGCTAGAGGGGACTCTTGATATCCCGTATGTGTGTGGAAGTATACCAGCCTAGCATCTTAGAGGCAAGTTTGGAGGTTCTCCCTTGGTGGGGCTCTCCCAGTTATCTAACTGACCTCTCACCGCCTGACCCCAGAGCCAATAGGGTGGTGGAATTTGCTCGATGGTTTCTTCCCCCTAGGGTGTGGCTGGAGAAGCAGATTTTGTTCCCACAGGGTCTGAGAAGGTTCTCCACCCCTGGCCAAACTTTTCTCTTCCTTCCTTTCAGGGTAATGGGTTCACACCCTTGGCCTTCACTCATCCATCTTCTTTATCAGCAGTTGGCCTTTACCCTGGCTTGTCATTCTGTTCAGTCCTTCCCCCACCCCAACCCTAAACCTGTCACAGGGACTAGGCTGGCCCCAGGCTGGAGGGGGGTGGGGCCCGAAGGTGCCCAACACCCTTGGGGCAAAGGGTGCTAGGCTAGAATTCCTCCCCACGGTTATCCCCATTGCCCTAAATAGGCAAATCGAATAGGTGTGACTGGGGAAGCAGCTCCCTTCATTTCCCCTTCACCCCTCACGTCTCTATCCCATTCCCCTTTCCTGTGCTCCAGGAGCCTGGCCAAGCTTGTGCAGAACAGCAACAATCACCCACTGCTTCAGCGGGCGGGCAGTGGAGCCCAACTCCAGACTGGGTGAGGCAACGAGTGCCCTGGAGCCTTGGAGGAGGGAGGAGCCCGATGTTCCTAGTCTGAGTGGACTCTGTTTTGTGGGGCATCCATATCCAGGGGACATCGGTCTCAAATGTCCCTTGCGTCTTTCTTCACATAAGCATGCATATGAAAACCATATATATATGTATGTGTAGGGAATAGAAATATATATATATACACACATACATACATATGCATATACATATGTATATATACATATATACACACAGATATATGTATGTATATATATGGCAGCCAGATGGTTCAGTGGATAGAATGCTAGGCCTGAGTAATCCAACTTCAGGCACTTACTAGCTGTGTGACCCTGGGCAAGTCACTTAATCTCTGTTTGCCTTAGTCCACTGGAGAAGGAAATGGCAAGCCACTCTAGTATCTTTGCCAAGAAAACCCCATGGATGGTATTGATGTGCTGTGGTCCACAGAGTCAGGAAAAGTCGGACAAGACTGAATATATATAAAATACATAAAATGTATGTATGTATACATATATATATACACATATATAGCACTTTAAATATATATTATATGTAATAATATATATAGCACTTCAAAAACCTTAAAGTGCTATAAAAATGCATTCTGGTTGTGACTCTAATGATGTTGATATTCCTTGGTCCTCCAATGTTTTGCAACGAATAGTCAACATATAGACATCTGTGCGTCTGATTTCAGTCAGTTTTCCCCAGATCTGATTGCATACATACCTAGGGGTTGATTTCCCTGTCTTTGGACTAGGTACCAGAATGGACAGCTGTGCCTGGAGGTGGGGGTTTGAGCATAGTACCATTGATTTCCCAGATCCCGCCCCAGCTAGGCTCTGATCTCCTCTCCCTTCCCTCTGGCTGGGCTCTGTCCATCCTGTAGGTCCTCTCCTGGAAGTCCAAGTTACCACTACAGACCATCATGAGGCTGCTGCAGGTACTGGTGCCTCAGGTGGAGAAGATCTGCATTGATAAGTGAGTCTGAGCGGGAGGGCTGGGCCATGGGAGGGCTGAGTCCTGGGAGGGATGTGGAGAGGCAGTTGAGTTTAGGAGAAGATGGCAGTAGGAAGCCATTCATTGGGCATCCCTTATTCCCTTTTAGGAGAATTATAATAGCTCATATTTCTATGGCTCTTCAAGGTTTCAAAGACACTCTTTTCATAACAGCTGTGTGAAGTACATGTAGCAAGTTATTATTCTCATATTACATATAAGGAAATCGAGGCTGAAACCAGCTCAAGTGAGGTTAGGGTCACACAGTTAGAATAATGCTAGAATTTAAATACAAGTCTCTCCTAATTCCAAGTCTAGTATCTTTCTGCCAACCCTTACTCCCTCTGTAACTCTTTTCCTAGGGTACCTTCGACCTTTCCATAAGAGACCGGCTTAGAGCATCTTCTGAGCCTTCTGCTCTTTTCCTTTCCTCTGCAGGGGGCTGACAGATGAATCAGAAATCCTCAAGTTTCTCCAGCATGGCACACTGGTGGGGCTGCTACCTGTGCCTCATCCCATCCTTATCCGCAAATACCAGGCCAACTCAGGCACTGCCATGTGGTTCCGCACCTACATGTGGGGTGTCATCTATCTAAGGTAAAGAGGCATGATGAGGACTGGGGACAGAGAGTCTTCAGCCACTACCCCCGTAGTAATAGCTGAAGGTCCCTGACATGCTATTTAGTCTCCAAAGGAACAGGGATCCCCCAGCTATAGCCACCACCATGTCCGATGGGATTGGCTCAGTTTTTAGGAATGTTTAACCTGGGGTCCCTCTACCAAGTAAACAGATTTCAAGGAGCTGGTGAAATTAAATGGGAAAAAATTACGTCTTTATTTTCATTAACCTATAACTGAAATTGAGCATTTCCTTCAATTTTGTTTTTTTTAAACACATTATTTGGAGAAAGGTTCCATAGATTTCATTGGACTGACAAAGGGGTCTAGGACACAACAAAGATTAAGAACTTCTGCTCCAGAATGACTAACAGGGCGTTTTCCTTTGTGGGCTCAGATTTCAGTAACCAGGACTTCCTCTGACCTTGAGTCCCATTGTCTCCAGTGAAGATGGATTTATTAGTGAGTCTGTAAGGGTGCTTAGTGTAGGGACCCAGTTGGATGTGGGCCCTTTGCTCAGAGGAGAAAGTGAGGATGGAGACGGTTTGGGTATCAGCTTTCCCCAATACTTCCCTTACCCCTCACTTGAATTCACCCAGCATTCTTGGGGGCCTGGCCCCCATCCCTCCTCATAGGAATGTGGACCCACCAGTCTGGTATGACACCGACGTGAAGCTGTTTGAGATCCAGCGGGTGTGAGGAGAAGAGAGCGAAGGACAGGAGAAGACGGAAGGGGTTTGAGTGGTTGGGTGCCAAGGTGATCCCTGGACCCCTCACAGCTGCCTGGCTCTGACTCTTCCTTCTGATTGCTATTTCAAGCTTTGTTATCACTTTGACCTGAGGAAGGGGGTGGGGAGGCAGTAACTTCCCCAAGAGCCCAGGGATTGGGGGAAATGTGGGGAGCCAACTTTGCCCTTTTCCCATACCTGGCTTATGAAGTCCTTCTGGTTCTGGTGGTAGTTACAGAAAACAACAAAGATTGGAAGGTAGAGCCAAGGAAGAGGCAGCTTCCTCTTAGCAGATACCTCTTGGTGTCCCACCTAATCAATTACTTCCCTTCCATTTCAAGTCTGTATTATAGCCCTGGCTTCCCTGAAGACTTGTTTCTATACCATGCTTTATTTGTTCACCCTCTTCTTTGACCATGCCTTCCAGGTTCTCCCTGCAAGTGGCTCAGAAGTTCTTGGGCCCCTTGGAGGGGTTACTTTAGTCTGGGATCCCCACTATCTGGGTAGTAGTGGGGGAGCTGAGGTGTGAATGCTGGGATGCTCTTTACCTTCCATTACAAAACATTACTCATTCCATACCCAACATGCCACTGAGGCTGAGCAGCTCATAGGAAGAATTGGGCTGAGGGAGGTTTTTAGGGTTTTGTGTTTTTTTTTTTTTGAGGGAAGAAGAGGTTAACAGTTCCAACCCAGAGTTCGATCCAGTGGCTATGGCCTAGGTGACCACCTAATCCCCAAGCCCACATTTTCATATTTGTACGAAGCCCTCTTCCGTGGGAATCTTTTTCACAGACCATTCCCCAAAAAGGAATATGACAGAGGGGAGCAACCCTCCACCCTCATTCTAATGTCAAAGGGTAGAGAACCTGTTTTTCCTCATGTTGGATAAGTAGAGGGGAGTGAGACGAAGACAGTCCAAGATATCCTTCCCTGGCTTCCCCATAGCTGTACCAGCTGGCTGCCCTGAAACCCTCAGTCCTCAGCTCTGTCCTCCAACGTTGTTCTTCCAAGTCTTCCCCATCCGTGGCTAATCCCCACTCTCTGCCTGTGTCAGTACAATCTTAATTTTCAAGCACTAGAGATGCGCTCTACAATCTGCTACTTTACACAAAATTAAAATCTCCCTTTTCCTGGCTGTGTATGTGTCTGGGGTGAGGGTGGCAGGAGCCTGCTTGGGGGAAGAGAGGCAGAGTCTCCCTTAAATAAGGGCTTGGTTCCAGGTTTAAAAGTTCAAGACATTGTCCCTGTCTTTTATGACACCAGTCACCTCAGAGGGCCGTGAGGGGTTTGTGCTTGTACGTGTCTGGTAGGGTGCAGTGGCTGACTGGTGGTAAAAGCTTCCCTGTTTCTACTACCTTGAGGTTGGAGGGAAGGGCAGTTCCCTGAGACCTTGGACTCTCTGCTAAGTGGCCTGTCCTTCAGAGCCCATGTATGTGAAGGTGAAGCAGGCTGTATATACAGTAGTAGAGGAACTAGGTTCCAATCCCAGGTCAGCTACTTATTATCTGTGTGAACTTAGTTAAGTATCTTAATTTATTTGGACCTAGGTTTAGGTTTTTGCTTTTGTTTTTTAATCCTTAAAATGAATGTTATTATGCTAAATCACCTCTCAGATCCCTTTTGGTTTTAAAGGCTGTCACCTCCCTTAAGTAGGATATGCTTACCTGACTTTGGTGGGTCATTTCACTGATGCAACTGGGATACCAGGGAAAATTCTTCCAGTTCTTTTGAGGATCAAATGGGATAGTATATATAAAGCATTTTACAGATCCCTAAATTGTGCTAAAGTACCAGTTATCATGCTTAGTGTCTTACTTGCCCAGGGGTTCTTACCTTGGAAGACAAGTTCTTTTTTTGTTTTGTTTTGTTTTTGTAGGTATTTTGATAACTATTTCCATAGAATTGGTTTTCTTGTAATCTTACGTATTTATTTTATTCATTTAAAGAAATTATTATGAGAAAAGGCAACGAGGTGACTCAATGGATAGAGTGTTGGGCCTGGAATCAGGAAGACTCATCTTCCTGAGTTCAAATCTAGTCTCGGACACTTACTAGCTCTGGGACCCTAGGTAAGTCACTTAACCCTGTTTGCCTCAGTTTCCTCATCTGTAAAATGAGCTGGAGAGTGACATGGCAAACCATTCCGGTATCTTTGCCAAGAAAACCCCAAACGGGGTAACAAACAGTTGGATGTGAATGAAAAATGACTAAATAATAACACTGCCACCATTCTGAGAAAGGATCTGTAGGCTTCACCAGGCTGCCAAAGGGGTCTGCGGACACAAATGAGGTTAAGAACACCTGTCTTAGTCCTGTTCTCTGGGCTACTTCTTTAAAATCTCCAAGTTCCGGAGGGTAGCTTAACTGGATCTCCAGGTCCCTGGCAATCTATCCATAGGCTATGTGGGCAAAAAGAGAGGATGAAATCTTTGAGTATAACCATGTCTGCTCAAAGTCTGAATTCTCTCTATTGAGGGCAACGTGGAAACATTCCTTTCCTTCTCTTAACCCTGGTCAGTTCCAGTGTCAGATAGTCAGACAATAAGCATTCATTAAGTACCCACTGTGTGCTAGGCATCATGCTAAGTGCATAGAGATGGTGAATCCAATGACCTAGCCAAAGTTACACTCACACCTAGCTGGTAAGTGGCAGAACTGGGATGTGAACCTAAGTCCTTTGGATTTGGCTAGGTGGCGAAGTGGATAGAGTGCTGAGGATGAAGTCAGGAAGAGTCATCTTCTTGATTTCAAATCTGGCCTCATACTTACTAGTTATGTGACCCTGGGCAAGGCACTTAACTCTGTTTGCCTCAGTTTCTCATCTGTAAAATGAGCTGGAGAAGGAAATGGCAAACCACTCCCGTATCTTGGCCAAGAAAACCCCAAATGGGGTCACGAAGAGTCGAACACAACCGTAAAACGACTGAACAATGACAACAGGTTCCTGACTGACAATGACTCTGTGATTCTGGAGCGGTGTACTTTCCCATGTGCCATATGGCTACCAAAGAAAAAGCTGTAGCACCCAGGATCCCAAAATCCCACTGCCTCTGCATAGACTCATAGAATGTTAGAACTTGAGAGAATCTCAGAGCACATAGGATCTAAAACTGGAAAGGACTTCAGAAGCCACGTGTCCAAGGCCTTCATTTTACCAATAAGGAAACCAAAGCCCAGGAAGGTTATGACTTGCCCAAGGTCATACCAGCAGTAAACAGAGAAGGTAGGATTTCAATCCAGGTCCTCTGACCCTAGAACCACACTGGTAATCAAGGAGAATGTCTATAGCTCCCAGTATTCTCAGGCTGTCTTCTATCCAAGCACTAATCAGGTTAGTTCTGCTTAGCTTTTATTTGAGTAGATGAGAATGGGAGCAGTCAGGGTGGTATGGCCATAGACAAAGGCTTCTTCCCCCCGTTTGAAAGATGAGGAAGTAGAGACCCTGAGTGGAGAAGAATCCCATAGATATTAGGTGGCAACACCAGAAATGGAACCCAAACCTAGCCCTCCTTCTCTTTAATTCATCGTGTTAGCTCATTTAAGCCTGCATTAATAATCTTCCGGTCCGTCATTGTCCTCCTTCTTCCAGCCCCATTCCGGGTGGGGCACCAAGGACCTACAGGGACATGCTGGAGACCTGGCTGTCAGGATAAGAAGAATGCCTGGGCTAGGCCTTCCCTCTGCGGCCTCACAATGATGATTCATTCTGTGCCCAGCCTAGTGTTGGTGCTGGGGCTTAGGGCCAGACCAAGGTCAAAACAGGTAGGGAGAGATTTTTCAGGGCCGGCACCGAAAAGCTACCTGGCTTGTTTTCTCTACCTTTTCTACTTCTTTATCACCCAGTGGAGTATCCAGGGCTTGCATACAGAGCACAGCCCCATTGCACACACTCCCAGCTGCTAACCTGGCCCTCTCCAAGGAGAAGAGCTGCTACCCACTTACCTTGGTTTGGGAGTACTTGGTAAGAGGGTGCTTCTGTAAGGTGAAGCCAGCTCCCCACCCCACCCCCAAAAGTGGCTTCCTTCTTATCCTAGGTGTTTCCCTCCAGAGCTAAGTCCATTCCTTTCTGTACCTCTAGATAACACCAGGGCAAAAAATATTCTCTGGGTGTCTCCCCTCCCCACTGCCTAGCACTGCTACAGGAGAGTGGAAGCCCTTTCCTTCATTCCCAAGGCTGAGTGACTGTTTTGCCTCTGGGAACAAATACAATAAAAAGAGCAGGTAATCGATCAAACAAACAGGTTTTATGGCAGCAGGAGAGAGGAGTTCAACATAGCTTGGCAGCTAATTAATGAGCTTGTTAGATGACTGTGTGTGTGTGTGTGTGTGTGTGTATGTGTGTGTGTGGGTCAGGCTTGGTGGAAGGGTGGGAGGGGTTGGTGAATGGGTGGAGTGGCCCCCCGAAGATGATAGATTTGCTCTGACTTAGTTTAGGAAGATGGCCCTGAGCAGTGGTTGGATAAACAGGCCCAGAGGCAGGTATGAGATGGCCTGCTGAGGCATTTGCTGGAAGGGGGTACAACTGCCTTCCCACTCCCCAACCTCTCATACAGACCCCTGGCTCAGGCTCCCCACACTAGCTCTAGGAAGAGCCACAACTATATACCAGGATTGGACTGCCATCTGTGCCATTTGGGGCTCTCGGGTGTTTTAAATTAGAAACATAAACAGATGTAGCCCCTCCCACTAGCACCCCAGCATAGCATCTGGGAACCTCATCCTTGGCTCTGGAGAAGACAGCAAAGTGTCCCCAAACCTCCAGGTTGATGGTTCCTGGAAGCAGGGAGACTTTGAGGGACCCCCTCTAGTTAGTTTCTGCCTCTGCTCAAATGGAGGGATACTTGGATTTCTTGGCTGTGGATGGAGCAGGGCTTGGGGCAGGTGTCTTCCACTAGCCCCTGGAACTGTATGGTTTGGGATCGAGGCGGAGGAAAGAAGCAGGAACAGTGCCAGGGCTGACTGACTGTGGACTGTTTTGAATCAGGCGCCGAGGTAGACTTCTACCAGCCCCCCAACAGAATGCATTCGGTAGAAGACCCCCAGAGGCAGGCCAAAGTTGACAATAGTGAACCAAGTCCTGTAGCCATAGAAATTTTTCTCCAGTCCGTTCTCAAACTCAGGGTGTGTGCCAAATGCTGGCATCATCCACATCTAGGGGAAGGGAGGGAAGAGATAGGTGAGTGGCTGAGAAGGGCCCTTTCTCCTCCCACCAACTCATAGCTACCATTGAGACAACCCCTCCACCCCCTTTCATTTGGCTAGTTCATTATCCTTGACCCAGCACTTTCTGCCTTAGCCGAGTGGCTCCATCAGCCCCATCCTAGAGCCCATCGGCTACCCACCGTGATGTTACAGATGATGAGGAAGATGGAAATTTCCTTAAGAACTCGACGCTTCCAGTTGAAGTGGCTGTAGTTGTGGATATAGGCCAGGGATACCCTACGCAGGCCCTGGCCCAGCTCTAACACAGATCCTCGGCGAAGGTCTGGTGGGCACTCCTCCCCTAGGCCATCATTCTGGTACTGGATGGGTGTCTCCCAGAGTGGCTGTCGGTGCAGGCCCTCAATGATGAAGAGGTTTTGTGCAATGTGCTGAATGATGATGAGGATTGAATAGGCCAGGATAAGTCTGTTGAGCAGCCCTTGGACATTGGTGGCCACAATAGCCACGATGGAAAAATAGGAGATACCAATCTGGCCCAGGGCAGCACCCATAAGAAGTACCACATCAAGGCTACGAGTGGGGTTCTTGACTGTGTCCATTTCCCGCTCTTCCAGTCCATGTATGACCGTGCCCATCAGGCATGCCAGAGTCATGACAGGCAGGACAATCACATAAAAAGTATAGTAAAGGGTAAAGTACTGATAACCAATGGAGGGGCCACTGGCCTGGATCTGGAAGACGACAAAGACGCTGACCCCTGCCACCAGAGCCAGGAAGCCCAACAGGGGACCAAAGATGGCCCCATGGAGGTGGAAGTTGGGCTGGCCAGGACTGGTTATGTGAGGAGACAGCTTTCGGCCCACATTCTTCCACATGACGTAGAGGATGGCGCAGCAGATGAGGCTGTATTCGGTGCTGAAGGGGTAGAGCATCAGGTAACCCTTTTGAAAGACTTCACATATAGTTGCATTGAGGCAAAGGCAAGTGTTGGTCTCATTGCCTAGGGAAGGGAAAGGAGAAAGTCACACAAGACTATTAAGAGAGGAAAGGAAGGTTGAAAAGTATGGTCATTTCATGAACTCACAGATGGTCTTTGCTTTAAGAAAACTCAATAGACAATGTGGGAGAAATGCAGAAATTTTGTACAGGCACAGAAATAGTTATAAGGCACATAAAATATGTAGGGAGAGGAAGTCCCCTCCCCATTTCCATGATGTTATTGACTGGACTGAGCAGTCAATTAGCATCACGTCAGCCAGTGACGTGGTTTTAATTGTTTGTTGGCTGCTCAGATGCTGATTGACCCCTTTAACTCTCCAATCACAGGCAAGAGGGCCATATTCTCTTGATTCCGTCCCTTTTCCTGATTCAACACAAGAAGAAGGTCCCGGGCAATAGTGCAAAGATCCAAAGAGTCCATTGCTGTTGTGGAAATAACAGAGCGAAAATAGATACTTCAATAGGACTTCTCTCCTGAGCTCCTAAGAGAGGTAGAAGGTTTGGAGGATAGGGGTGAGGAGAAGACTTTTAGTTGGAACTCTTCAAATATCCCATTGGGTATGGGGTATTGCTATGTCTTGGTATATACCACCTCCACTGGGAGGTTATATATGTGGTAAAAATGATTATCAGAGGATGGTTATTCATATTGCAAAATGATTTTGTACAATCTCAAGCTTTTTTTTTTTAAAGACATCTAAAACCAGATTGACTTAGAAAAGCTTAGTCTACTAATGTTTCACCAACACATTGAGGGAAGTAGGCATTATTTCCATATGTACCTTGCTTTAGGGCATCTAGGTGGCACAGTAGATAGAGTGCTGGGTCTGGAGTCAGGAAGATTCATCTGGCCTCAGACAGTTACTAGCTGTGTGACCCTGAGCAAGTCACTTAACCCTGTTTGCCTCAGCTTCCTCATCTGTAAAACGAGCTGGAAAAGGAAATGACAAACCACTCCAGTATCTTTGCCAAGAAAATCTCAAATGGGTCATAGAGAGTCAGATATGACTGAACCACAAACCTTGCTTTACCTAATCAGTTTATTTGCCCTTGAAAGTGGGCTGTAGGAGCAGCTAGGTGGCTCAGTGGATAAAGCACCGGCCGTAGAGTCAGGAGGACCTGAGTTCAAATCCGACTTCAGGCACATAATGCTTCCTAGCTGCATGACTCTGGGCAAGTCATTTAATCCCAATTGCCTCACCAAAAAAGAAAAGAAAGTGGGCTGTGCAGGTTTGAATGTATGAAGAGTATAAAGCTGTGGTCATGTCATGCAGACTTGAAGGTTTGTGTGTTTGTGTGTTTAAGTTTCATCTTTGTAGGCTGGACTGATTTCCTGTGGGCTCACCTGATTTGTGAGGCACCAGACAGATCCTCCCGGCCTACCACCTAGGTGTTGAAGTGGATAAAAGTCAGATCAGGAAGATCTGAGTTCAAATCTGGCCTTAAACACTTACTAGCTGGGTGACCCTGGGCAAATCACTCGGGTTGTTTGCTTCAGTTTGCTCAACTATAAAAGGGGACAATAACAGCACCTACTTCACAAAGTTGTTTCAAGGATCAAACGAGATAACATTTTTAAAGACCTTTGCACAGTTTTTGGCATGTAGCAGGTGCTATATAAATGCCGATTTCCTTCTCTTCCCCACCCCCCATCTCTCTTCTTCATCTGTCAGACTACTATTAAAGGTTAATTCATTTCAACCCTAAAGCCTTTGTAGTTTTCAAGAATCTTCTATGACAACGTAAATGCCCCTGGCATGAGATTCTTCTCAGGAATTAACTGACAGACCATTATTTGGGAGCAACATAGATGCTGGGAAGGGAAAGGTAGAAGGTGTCAAGTGTTTCAGGGCAGGTGAGTGCCAAAGAGGAAGGAGAAATGTGGCAGTTTTCCATGTCTTGTCATGCGGATACACATACACGTATACATACACACATATATATATTTATATTTATACCAGGGTGCTTATATCATGCAGGTATGTATATGTACCAGGGTGATGCCTGGAACATTTTGGGGGAAAATCATGGTTTTTTTTTCAGATCTTCCTATCACTAATCATGAATACATGTGTTCCTGTATGGATATGAATGATGAGGACAACAGGTTTATGTGAGCACATAATGATGTGGATGGACAAATCACTCAGTTTCTTCACCTATAAAATTGATAGTATTAGACTAGTTAACTGCCAAGGTCCCTCCTGCTCTATCTATTATACCATGTCGTCTTGTGGTTTTGTGGGAGTGGATTGTACTATATCAGGGATATGAGGGCTAAGCAGGGAGAAAGGAGTGGGCATCCTGGGATCAGAGAATGTTAGAACTGGAAGGCGTTAAAGGTCACCTAATCCAGCCCTATCACTTTAGAAACTAAAGCCCATGGGGAGTAAGTGGCTACCTTGAGGTCACATAGCAAGTGTATGGTTGAGCTGGGACTAGGCTAGAACTCAGGCTTCCTGCCTCTTAGCTTGGTGCTCTCTTCCACCATCCTCGGCTGCTGCTTCATACCTGTGAACTTTTCCACGAGGGCCTCCAATTCAGCCTCAATCTCCCGATGCATGGAATCATTGGTGACGGCCAGTATCCAGAGGAGTAGGTTGGTAGCCATAGTTAGCATCAATCCGCACCTGGGTGGGGGGAGGCACTTGATAACCTGATCCCTGACCCTGAGCCTCTCAGACTCTGAGCTCCACACTAGGACATCCCATAACCCTTTCCGAGGCTGGCCCTGAATCCTCGGCTCCCCTCCCATACCTGATCACTTTACCAACATGCCTTCGAGGAGCTCTTGCTGGAAGTCTAAGAGTGGGAGTCACAGATATTTAAGTGTGGGAAATGCCCAGGGAGAGACCCACTGATGCCATTTCCCAATGAATTCCCCAATTGTAAAACCAGGATAGGTCTTTTGAGAAAGGTATATTGGGCATGGGCTAAAAAGTGGGGTGTGGAGAATGTCTCAAGGGGCTCAGGGAAGAATGGAAGGGGCTTGGGAAGCCCTCCTCACCTGGTGAGATTCATCTGGACCTGAACACAGTCTTTACTGTGGTTCCATAGCACATAGGTCTGAAAAGAAGGATGTCAGCTGATCACAGCTTGTGGGGGTGGGGAGAGACTGAAGATAAGGGAGTGCAAATGAGCGTGTGCATATGTCTGTGCACGTCAGTACATGTGTGTATGAGGTGTCTACATTTGGTTTATATAAGCGTAAGTGTATAGTAATAATCATAGCTAACATTCATATAGTGCTTACTATGTGCCAGGCACTGTGCTAAGCCCTTTATAATTATCATATCTTTTGATCCTCACAACAACCCTGGGAGGGAGGGGCTATTATGATCCCAATTTTGCAGATGAAGAAACTGAGGCAATCCTCTGATTAAATGACTAGCCCAGGGACTAGCCCAGCCAGTGACAGCTAGTAAATGTCTGAGACCAGATTTGAACTCAGATCTTCCTGACTCCAGGCCCAGCACTTTAACCATTCTATCCATTGCAAACAATAGCTGGAATTTACGTAGACCTTTTAAGATTTATAAAGCCCTTTACATATACTATCTAATTTTATTTATTTATTAAATAGTATTTTATTTTTTCCCCAGTTATGTGTCAAGAAAATTTTTAGCATTCCTTTTCCTATCTCATTTTTTTTGGGGGGGGGTAGGCAATGGGGTTAAGTGACTTGCCCAGGGTCACACAGCTAGTAAGTGTTATGTGTCTGGGGCTGAATTTGAACTCAGGTCCTCCTGAATCCAGGGCTGGTGCTCTATCCACTGCGCTACCTAGCTGCACCCTACTATCTCATTTTGTCCTTACAAACCATTCAATGAGGTACGTGCTATTTTATAGTTGGGGAAACTGAGTCTGAGAGAGGAGCTAAGTGACTTGCCCAAGGTCACACATCCAAGAAATATTGAAGCAGAATCAGAACCGAGGTCTTCCTAACTCCAGCTGTCAGACATGCCACTGGGGAAGTGAATAATGAAATGGAAGGCAGTGAATTCCTGATCCATCTAGGTCTTCCATATTGAAAATTACGAAACTCAGCTTTGCCAGACTTTAATTCCTGTGCTTTATTCACAGTATTCCCTCCCACCTGCCTATTGGAGTGTGCATGTGTATGAGCAGGAATGAATGATCCTATGTTTGTAGGTATAGGCCTGAGTGCTATGTTAAGCTGTAATAGCTTTAATATTAGAGTTTTAAGCTTTAATAACTTAAAACAGCACTAGGATTTTTGGCATACCCTGTATAAGTGAGTATTTTTAGGTTATGCATTTATAAGGCAGTATGGATATATATATATATATATATATATATATATATGTGTGTCAAGTTTAGTTTACAAAGGGATATGCGTATACATAGGAGAATGTGTCTAGGAGTGCATGGGCATATTTATACCCAAGAATATGTGTAATGTGTAGGTATATACCCACACAAAGGGTGTCTGGCTAGTATGTAGTACAGCATAGCATGTGAGGGCATTTGCCTGCATGATGTCTCTGGCGGGTGGATAAGTAGCATCACCTGAAGACCGATGAAGAGAATCTCAATGATGGGGAAGACAAGTTCCACTTCAGACTTGCAGTGGATGTGACTGATGATGTAGCCAATTCGGAAGACGTTGAGTAGGATGGTGCAGCTACCAAACAACACCAGGGAGCCTGGCCAAGGTGGAACCATCAGAACCTTCTCTGTCCTTTCCCAGCCCTCTCCCCTCCCCCAGTGCCTCCCACCTACCTCTTCTAGGGAATAGCATCCCTATCCCTGGACTTATCTGCCTTATCATTCTTCTGTTGGTGCTGAACAAGGATGAGGCACATGCTTACTTACCCTGAACCCAGACAGGCCCAGCGTGGGGATCCCGGTGCAGGATAGCGTGTGGCAGGCGGATGGTACCCACCATGTAGTAGAGAAGCCAGAGGAGGGCAAGCACCTTGAGCACTGCCAGCAGGATCCAGACATCACCCAGGGTGATGGCCACATTGTTGGAGATCATGCTACAGATGAAGGCTCCCCCCAGGAACACCACATTGAGTGCCAGGAGCCCAGAAAAGAGCTGGCTGGCCTTCTGGGCTTGGCGATCTCGACGAAGGAGCAGGGAGAAGTGCCGTTCTAGCCATGACTTGTCCCTTCTGGGGCTAGGGCCCCCCAATTCCTTCTTATCCTCCTTAGCTGTAACCTCAGGGATCCCCTGAGGGTCTTGAGAGGGCAGGGAAGGGGCAGTGGAACTTTAATGTGAGTATATACCAAGCTCAATATAACTTTAGATCTGCCCCTAACTGTTGTCTGGGTAGCTGGGTGGCACAGTAGACAGAGTGCTGGGTCTGCATTCAGACCCATCTTCCTGAGTTCAAATCCATCCTCAGATACTTACTAGCTGGGTGATTCTGGGCGAGTCACTTAACCCTGTTTGCCTCAGTTTCCTCATCCATCAAATGAGCTGGAGAAGGAAATGGCAAACCACTCTAATATCTTTGCCAAAGAAAACCCCAAATGCAGTCACAAAAAGTCAGATAGGATGGAACAACTGTTATCTAGGGTGGAGGTAGGAGGAGAGGCTCCCCTTTCTTGTGTCAGTTTATGGATTTCTCTTTTTCCCTCTTCCTGCCTCCCCACCAGCCTCTGATACCTCAGAAATCAACTTTCACCAGCCTAACCAGGTGTCTTCCAGTGAGTGAAGACTCTGTAATTGTCCCTTACCAAAAAAAATCCAGGTTACTCCCCACTCCTCTACTGATTTCTCCAAAGGCTCACAGATCTATAGCTTGAGGCTATCAAGTCCAACCATCTCATTTTACAGATGAGGAAAATGAGGCACAGAGAGGTTAAGTGACTTACTTGCCCCTAGTCTCACACTAGTAGGTGTCTAAGGTTGGATTTGAACTTGGGTCTTCCTGACTCCAGGTCCAGTCCTCTATCCATTATGTCACCTAGCTGCCTCTCTAAACTTTCAGATAATACAGCCACTGTCCATCTCTTCTCCCACATAGCCTTAGACTCGGCTTTGTATATTCTGCTACTCTGATCCTGGTTGACTCCATTCCAGCCCTTTTCCTCATCTGTAGTTAGAGAATCAGGAATTCCCAATCTGACACTGGACCGCTTTACTGACTGACATGTATATTCCTTTTCCTAGGTTTCTACCACTTCTTTATGTTACTCCTTGAGATGCTCCCTGATTCAAGGTATTCAAACCTAACTCCTACTTGGCCTTTTTTTTTTCCTTTTTTTTTTTTTTTGGCTAGGCAATGGGATTAAGTGACTTGCCCAGGGTCACACAGCTAGTAAGTGTTATGTGTCTGAGGCCAGATTTGAACTCAGGACCTCCTGAATCCAGGGCCAGTGCTCTATCTACTGCACCACCTAGCTGCCCTTCTAACTCCTACTTCTGTCTTGCCCCTTCCTCTCCTTTCGTCTCCTCCAGTTCCAATACAATGCTATAATTCTCTCCCTTCCTTTTGTAACCTTCTCCTCCCCCTTCTGCTCAAATTGAGCTCCTAAGCAATACATCTCTTTCACCCTCTTCCTCTGCATCCTTCTCTCACCCAATCATTCCCACTTATTCTGGGATCTGGGCTGTCTCAGGGACTCTTAAAGACTTCCCCTACTTCAGTAACCCAGGAGTTAGACATGGCAGCTTCAAAATCTTGCCCTTACCTAGGTTAATCTATTTTTTTTTTTGCATACAACGTACATCTATTTATCTAAGTTATCCAATTGTGTGTACTCTTCTTATGCGTCTAGATTTTAAAATAAACTTGCGCTCTTTAAAGTTGTTAGGTTTTCTTTTCTCCCCATCTTTATCATCTTCTTGCCAGCTTTTAAGCATCATATTCCTGGAGAGTAGCCCCAGGGAGGTCCCTGGTGAATATTCACAGGATCTACATCTGGAAGTGACCTTAGAGACCCAAACCCCTTGTTTTATAGATGAGGAAACTGAGGCCCAGGAGTGCAAAATTGATTTGCCCAAAGATACCACTATATCTGACACTCAATCTGTCAGTGATGTCCAGGACCTAGAATAGAGCAGGCCCTCAATAATGATCCTTATCATTTTCTCCTGGGCTTTCACACCTAAGTGGGTGAGACCCAAGGCATCCATTCTAGTATCTTCTTGTTCCATTTCTTCCAAAACAGGCAACTTCTCTTTGGAAGGATGCTTTCTTTGGAGGTCTTGGGGACTAGGGGTGGTGGAGAGAGGATGAAGGTAGGAAAATGCAATCCTTGAGCAAAGGCTCTACAAGCCAGCATAGGGGAGATAATTAAGAGGTGAGGAGCTAAGATTCTCTCTCTGGTTGGTGTTTTCTCCAGCTGTCAAGGGAATGGGGAGCTTGAGGCCGAGATTAGATGTTTTTCCACTCTCAAAACTCAGGGCTGCAGTGATTTGAGGCCCCATAAGATTGAAAGCACCACCCCCTAAACCCAGGTGTCTTCAATTCCTAGGAGATGGCAGCCTTTCAGCTATGGAAGCTGTAGTAGGAGGCCTGAGCAGCTGTGAGAAGGCCGATGGAGAAGGTGCTTTAAGACTGAGGTTGAGGTGCCAGCTCTGCTCATTACTCTACATGTTGCAAGGGGAGGGAGGGACCAGAACCTAAACTGGTTTGTGGATTTGAGTTAGAGAGGCAGGTGACAGAAATCCCCTGGAGCTGTTAGGGAGGGGAAATGAAGGAGGGAGAATACAGACAGGGTAGACTCTGGACCTGGTAGCGATAGAAAGAGACCAGGGGACATCTGGAGTTATGGATAGTTTGAGTTCCCCAAGGATACATAGAAATAAGGGTCAAAATCACCACAGCCCCCTCCCTACTCCACCCTCTGATTTCCCTTTCCCTAGAAACCTCGACTTTTTGTTCCTCCGGATCTCATCTCCACTCTTGGGGATAGGAGCTTTGACTGGGTCTTAGATTCAAGATCTTTTCCCACCTCTTCCAGGTGTGAGGAGTGGGGAGACCCTAGGGGATGAAGGGCAGAGAATTCCTTCCCCACCCCCCCTCCCGCTGACCCAGGTAGCGCTGCTCTCTGGATGGTCCAGAATCAGTCTGGAAGGTGGCGTTGCCTTGAACTAGGAAGAGTAGTGCGGCAGGGGCCTCGGTGGGAGAGGTGGAAGCGGCGCGGGGCAGTGGGTACTGGGACCCCTAAGGGTCTTTCCAGAGTGATCGTGGCTTCTCTCCCCTTCTGGATTCTTTCCCTTTACATCCCTGAAGAATCCCCACCCCGCCCCATGCCTGACTCCGGGTCCCCATTCTTAAGCCTGGCTTTTGGGTCCTTTACCTTCTTCCAAAGGTCCTGCTCTATACTCTGGGCTCCAATCCAGTTAGGGAGCAGCCGTGTGCAGATGGCAGAAGGTGGGGAGATGTATGGGGGTACTGGGCAGGGCCCAAGCTGCCTTACCTGAGACTTGAGCTGTCATCGTTGCGGACTAACAACCAACTGGAAGGAGCTGGGCTGCTCCGTCCAGGTGTGTCTCTAGCCTCCCCCTACTATCCCGACCTATGCCCCTGGACCCTCTCCCTCGGCTGAACTGCGCACCCACTGGCTCAGTCCCAGCGGCTCATCGATTTTTCCTGTTGACTTTGGAAATCTCATTAATCCCTCGTTAATTATACCGCTCAAGGTTTCTCTGGCCCGGGAAGAGCAGCCAATAGGATCTGGGGCAGGGCCACCTCAGAGCAAGTTGGCAAATGGGCCACTCTGTCGCTCGTGGAGGGGCTGGGCCAGAGCCTACGGGGGTCGGAGACGTTTGGCTGACTAGCCAAGGGCTACTGGGCGGGGCTGGAGCATTCAATTAAGGGAGTCAGTGGAGAGGGCAGCAGGGAAAGATTTGAGGGGGTCTTTCTAACCCTAGGAGGTATGCGTCCAAGATGCCTGACTGGGCCATGGGAAATAGGATAGGAAGGAAACAGAAACAAGTTTCCCTAGGGTGCCCAAGTCACCTGAGCACAACTGCTCCAGAAAGCTTCTCATAGCCCCTTTCCATGTCAGCTTCCCCTGATGCCAAGCTCTGTGCCATCTGCCTGCCACGCAGCAGCAATCTTTCTACCTTCAGCTGCCGTATCCGGACGCCCTTAGGTACTTCTTCCTCTCCCTGATGTTCCATATCAGATTGAAGGAGAAAATATGGAGTCTAATTCTGACTGTTTGGGCTGTGAGGCTTTCTTTCCTTCTCCCTTCTAGAAATCCCTTTGTTTCTCCTGCGAGTCCTTCCCACCCTGTAATTAGAATGTCACTGAACTGCTGAGTCTGGTCTTAGTGCTTACTGAACATACTGAACGTTGGGGTTTTTGGGATAGACAGACCAAGAGACTTTCTCCCAAAGCAAATTGAGGAAATCCCCACAATGCTGCCTCCAGGACCCTGTTGATCCCTCTCCTTATCACCCTGAAAATGTCTTAGTGCCCTCTAGGGTAGCTATAACTGCCTGCCCTATCACTGGTTCTCACCTGGTTTCTTCTTCCCTTGTGGCTCTGTTTGTCTCTGCTATCTCTGTGGTTATTCTTGTCTCCAGGAATCATTTTTATTCTCTCCCCAGAACCTTTCAGATTGGTGTTGGCTTGACTATGAAGTGTATTGAGGTCTTGGAGGGCTAGTGGATACTGATATCTACTGATATCAGATACTGATGCACTGTTGGTGAAGCTGTGAATTGGTCCAACCATTCTGGAAAGCAATTTGGAATTATGCTAAGAAAGTTGCTAAAATGCCCTTCAGTCCAGAGATCCCACTACTAGATATATACCATAAGGAGATCAGTGATAAAAAGTCTCATACACATCAAAGGCTGATTTTTTTTTCTTTTGAAGAAGCAAGGAACTGGAGGAGGAGATGATCATAGATTGGGCTATGTCTAAGCAAGATGTGTTACATGAATGTGATGGAAAATATTCCATACTCTATTGTAAACAAAGAATTAATATGAATATAGCAAATCATGAGAAAATGTATGTGAACTGATTCAAAGTTATGTAAGAAGAACCAGGAGACACATTCTAGTGGCTCCCTTATTATCTTATGAGTCAAATATAAACTTCTTTTTTTGACATTTAAAGCCCTTCACAATCTGTTTCCTGCCTAACTTTCCAGGATTATTACACATCACTCCCATTTCATACCCTGTGGCCTAGCCAAACTGGCCTTCTTGCTGTCCATCACTCACAAAACTCTATCCCTACTCAACTTTTCTCCCATCATCTAGTGCCTTCTCCACCAAATATCTGATGTTTATTTTGCATATGCACATAGATCTATGTGACCTAGGCACATAGGTATTTGGTTTATAGATATATATGTGCATATACTATACACATATATCACATAGATATACATGCATGTATTATACACATATATCATATAGATAAATGTGCATATACTATACATGTATCATATAGATGTGTGCATATACTGTACATATGTACAGTATATGTGTGTATACACATATATGTGTATATTTATATACTTACATATACACATGTTGTCCCACCTGATAGAATATAAGCTTCTTAAGGACAGGGATTATCTCAGTTTTTACTTTTGTCTTTGTATGGCCAGCAACTAATACAATCCCTGGCACATTATAGGAGCAATAAATTCTAGCTGATTGACTGAATCACAATGATTACAATGATTAAATGGGGAAAAAACCCAACAAAACAATGGAAATTTAAATTCGGTGAAATGATAATGACCTAGTTTGGCCTCAAGGAAGAGATTTGAGAACATATTACCCTTCCTCCTTTGCAGAGGTAGGGGGTAATGGGTGTTGATCATTACTTATAATATTGGACTTGGTTGATGTGTTGGTAATTTTGGTGAACTTCTCTTTCTTAAATTCTTTGTTATAAGGGATATGTTAGGTGACATAGGTGATATTAAAACAAAAGGTATCAATAAATAGTTTTTTTTAAAAAATAAGTTATTGGGGACAGTTAGAGAATCACAAGTTTATTTGTTTCCTGGCTCAAAACATAGTGAAGCAAGGGATTCAATAGGTAGGAATGTGGATGGGTCCTGCAGCCCAGTTTTGGGGAGTTCAAGAACATAGGGAAGGTTATTCTCCACTCACCCCATATCCAGATTATCTGTTTCAAAGCACTTTGGAGAAATTGAATCAGTTCAGGGGCCTGAGTCTATACCACAATACAGGCCTCATTGTATAAGTTGGAGGGCAAAGTGGGAGAAAAGCAATTTTGACTTTAAAATGATTTAAAGTTAAGGATTTTAACTTTCAAAAAACCCAACTCAAATTGGGGATCTCTAAGGTTTTCACCAAATCTATTTGGTGAAAATTTATGTTAAAACCCCCATTCTTGCAGTTATTGTCAGCTTAGTTTTTTAGGAGGGTCCCTTGGGCAAGTGAAGTGGGGAATGGGAGAACTGGGTAAGGAGGCAGTTAGACTTGGGTGGAAGTGAGGAAATGGGTATAGAGGACCCCTATCCATCTTCTGGAGTTAAAACTCCCTTCCAAAGAGCTGTCTTTTCCCTCCCTGGGAAGAATATGGACACCAGTCAATGTTGTCCATCAGCTTGGGCTGGGCTCTAGAAATCTTTTGGTGAAGTACAAAGGCTCGTGAGGGAAGGAGGAGCATCAGGACAAGACATAGACCTCCAGCAAGCTGGAGACAGCATGCATTCGGTAGAAGATTCCGAAGGGAAGGCAGATGTTGACAATGGCTGCCCATAGGGAGTAGCCATAGAAATCCAGTTCCAGGTTGTTGTTGAACTGAGGTCGGGCACCAAAGGCAGGCATGATCCAGAGCTAAGGAGAGAGTGGGAATGGATGGGTGGGTGGGTGAGTGAGCATTCAGCAACAAAGTAGAACCCAAGTCACTTTCAGGGATTTGGCTCAACTACTCACCCCTTCCACACATTTTGTAGGGCTGTTGCCTTAGTTTTATAGAATGTTTGAGCTGGAAGTGGCTTTAGAGCTCCTCTATTCAATTCCCCTCATTTTACAGGTGAAGAAATTGAAAGATTAAGTGACTTGCCCAAAGTCAGGTTGAGTTAGAATTAAAATCCAAATCTTCTGACTACTGTTTTTTTTTCTACCATATTGATTTGTGTTTTTTTAAGCAATACTAGATTCCTTTAGCCCTAGTCACTACTCAAGAAACATTTATGCACACACACACACACACACACACACACCCCTCAACTCCAAGGGAGCCAGCCAGTGGTTATACTTATCACACCCTCAGCCTAGTCCTACCCAACTGAAACCGCCTGAGTGTTGAAGGGTATGGAAACAAAGAAACGGTGGATGTAATAGGAGGAAGGCATTTCTTCATATTTAAGGACCAGATTATATTTTCCTCCAAAGTAAAATGGGGAGAGGACTATGAGGATGTAGTGGAATGGAGTTCTCAATGATCTCTAAGCACACTTTCACTAAAGATGATGCATTACCACCTGCTTTACTGTAGTGCCCTAAGGACCATGAGATCTTTTCATCCTACTTGTAGCTAAAACTTTCTATATTGTGTTGCCTCTCCCACTAGAATGTGGGCTTCCTGAGGGCAGCACTAGGAATGTCTTAATTTTCTGTTCAGGTAAAGATAAAGCACTTATTAAGTGCCAGACACGGTACTAAGTGCTGGGAATATAAATACGAGCAAAATTTTGTATTCTCAAGCACTTACAGTGCTTTAAGGACCTAATAAATACCTTTAATTCATTCAGCTATTCTAGCTCTGAATCCTGTTCATTGTATGGTACAGAGAATTAGAGAAATAAATTTGAAGTCAGACATCCTAGATTTGAATCCTGTCTCTGCCACTTACTACCCACATAACCTTTGGAAAATCGTTTAACATTTCTGGACCTGTTTCTTTGCCTGTTAACTAAGAGAGTTGGATTAGATGTTCTCTAAGGTTCTCCTAACCTATGCTGTATAATTTTGAAAGTATGCATAAATAAACAAATCTGCCATTCTAAACATTTTTGTGAGACATCTACACACTGAGGTACTGAAAGCTGATGAGAGATGAGGGAAGGCCACACCCAGTTGGCAGAGGCTGGGCTAGAGGACTCCAGGCAAGATTCTCCTCACCTTTTATCCTCTTGGCTGACCCAGCATCCTCCCTGCCAGACTATTCTGTCTTATCTCTCTGTTTCCTCTCTTCTCCCCTGGGCTGAGGGAGAACTAAAGGAAACTGGGAACCAAGCTAAGGTTTAGCTGCTCCAGGCAAAAGTAGCTCCTAACCTGTTCTGGAATATGGTGCTTGTGTCTACAGATAGGTACCCAGGTTCCTGGGTCAGTCAGTGAATTAGTGTTTGGTGGAACTCATGTCTGGACTATAGTGACTGGGGAGGTATATGAAAGGGGGAAGGGATATCAGATAAATCCTTAGATACGTAGTAAACCCAGATCATTGCATGGCTAAAGTATCAGCTCTTGCCCTTTGATGAATGAGAGCAGAGATCTAGAGATGCTTCAGTTTTAAAGAATCTATCCCCCTGTTCTGGAGGAGTTTCAGTACAGATGG